AATTTGAATTAGATTGAAGAGGGTTCCTTTGTACTGTGGAATAAGGGTCAAAAGGAAAGTGGTTTGAGAGTTGCTAGAAGGAAAATTTACATGGAATGTGTAAAAAGTAAAAAAATAGAAGGCCTGGATGGAGTAGGAGCTACAACAGTCATTTTCAGTTGTTCCCATAGATGTAACTGACAGTTTTGGCTGTCCATGGGATATTCAGTACTCTTCTCCAAGACCAGTGGCTGAGTGGTAGACACTCTACTGAGAATATCTGAGTGGTGTTATACTGAGAATATCTACTGAGTGGTGTTATACTGAGAATATCTATTGAGTGGTGTTATACTGAGAATATCTACTGAGCGGTAGATATTTAGAAATATTTGGGACGTAAGGATTTCAGAGGTTAGTAGGGGGAAGATGTGTAGAGTTTTGGACATACTGAGCTTAAAGTAACTGTAGCTTATTCAAAAGTGAATGTGTAGTAGACAGTTGATGAACGAATTATGATGGAAAGTAGAACCTGGTAAAAGAAAAAAAGTGTTTATGTAATTTAATCATAGGGATGAGAAAGAATACTGGGAGTGGGTGTCGTGGGGATGGATGGAGGGTGCTGCATATGAAGCCCCTAGGAGGAAACTGGAAATGGAACTTAGGGAACATTAAGAAGACCTTCGGTATCAAGGGATAAGAGCACTGAAGGAGCTGTCCACTGGGTCATGAACTGCAGAGATGCCAAGTAATAGAGACAGTAAACAGTGCATTTAAATTTTACCCATGAAATTAGAGGGATTTCAGCAAAAGCTGTTGGTGTGAAGAAAAGAGGGACTTTGCATGTGGGGTAGAAGATGGAGTGTGTGTCTTTGAAATAGGGAGGCCAGAAGACAGAAGTTTAAGAAGTGAACTGGAGATAACAAAATGCATATATTCTTCTGAGGTGCTAGAATCGGGTTTGTTTCCCATTTTTTTAAATTTTATGTTTGTTTACAAAGTTCGTATCCGTTGTATTGCACATTATTCTTCATTCACATTGTGTTTCATATAGTCATTCTCATTTGTTCTGTTTTATAAAATTAATCACCTTTGGACTTTGCTGGTAATTACTCTGTCTTTTCAGGTGTGGTCTTTTTTTGGTTGTTTTTGGTGTTGGGGTTTTTTTTTTTTTGTTTCCTTTTGTTTTTTTAGGCAGTGAAGATTCAAATTTTTGTTTTAGTTTTTAAACTAAAGTGTTCTTGTTGTTTATTAAAGTTTAAGACTGGAAAGTTTAATTTATAAAATCTAAACAGCCCAACCCTAGGAAATGGAAAGATTGCAGATAGGGGAATGTAAAAGCTAATAATCATTAATTTAGGAAAAGATCCCCAGAGAGATTGCTGGATGTGGAAGCAGAAATGGAAATTAGCTTCCAGGTGAAGAGGTTCATTCTGAGATGGGGAGAGAAGAGGTGAGGCTGGTTGAGGGTGTAGGTAAGTTTAGAGGTGAGGAGCATGGGAAATTGCAGCCTTTTTTATCTAAAGAATTCAATTTGAATTAGATTGAAGAGGGTTCCTTTGTACTGTGGAATAAGGGTCAAAAGGAAAGTGGTTTGAGAGTTGCTAGAAGGAAAATTTACATGGAATGTATAAAAAGTAAAAAAATAGAAGGCCTGGATGGAGTAGGAGCTACAACAGTCATTTTCAGTTGTTCCCATAGATGTAACTGACATTTTAAAAGAAATGTTTTAGACTCATTGCTCCTCTGCCCATTCATAGTTCTTTGTTCCGACAGAAAGTGTAGGCCTTCTATTATTATGTTAGTTGTAAATTCCTAAAATGTAATTCCAGCATTTTATTTCCACCACTGTATCCAGACATCCTGTCAAAGTGTTTCATATGGAGTAATTTTTAACAAAAGGTTGTATACTTTTTCATTTATGAGCTGGACCTATCTTCTGTGATTCTGCAACTATACAAAGCTGTTTTCAGACTATTGTTTGGATTGGTGATCTGAATTCACTAAAGTTATAAAGGCCATTATTTTTGGCATGTAATAAAAAAATGGAAGCAGGAGTGGCATCCATTTCCTAAACAATGTGCCTCTGGAAACTCTATCACCTTTGAGAAACTATGATAGTAATAAAAAGGGATATATGATTAGACATTATTGTTGTGACAGGAGTCCAGAACAAAGGTAGCATAGTGGAGTGGACTTGTGGGGAGGGATTGAATAACAATGAAATAATTTTTTTCTTTTACTTTTAAAGAGAAGAGTGAATTGGGGGGAGGGGTCATGAGGGAGAAAAGTTTAACAATGAATGAATGGAAATCCAAAGTATCTGTAAACTTTCATTAAAATCAGTTTAAAATGAAAAAAGGCTTCAGTCCTTTTGTCCTTTTGTTCATAGGGTCGCTATGAGTCCTGCTGACTCAACGGCAGTCACCAACAACAATACAAAACACTTTCTCTCATTTACTGATTTTCCTGTAATCCTGGAAACTCTTGCTTAAATTGATCTAATATCTACCTGATTTAGACAATTTTATACATATCTTGATTATTCAGAGGTTTCTCATTCATATTTGTCCATATTCCTTAATTAAGTCTATATTTTTGGTCTTTCACTTCTTTCAGAAGGCAACAGATAAAAGAAAAAATAATTTTATTGTTTAAAAGTTCTTGGAAAAATGTTTACAGAGGGTAAAGTTATAGTTAATAATCGGAATGACATTCTTTGAATACCTGTATTTATTTATTTATGTATTTTATTTATTTTTTTTTGTGGTGGAGACAAGCTGTCTTTATTGCTGGGGGGCTGGGGCGGCTGGTGCTCAGGAGCTCTTGGTGGGGCGGGTTCGCTTCCTCTTCACCATCACGGGCTTCTTCTGGCTGCGCAGGATGGCGCTGGCCCTGCGGATGGCAGCGGTCGGGCCGATACTTGTTTTTGCGGATCATGTGGCGGATGCTGCTGAGTGTGGCCCGGGCGTTCTTGTGGATGGGGTCCGCACGTAGGAGGTGGCCGGCTTCCTCTGGCCTGACCTCCGCTTCATCACCACCACGACCCCCTTGTTGTCGGGGGCCGGCTCCACGCCCACGGTCTTGCGGTGGATCGGCCCATTGTAGCGGAAGGAGTTGCGGGCTTTGAGGTTATTGGGCTCGGTGCAGTAAGAATACCTGTATTTATTAATGATATGATAAAGGCTTGTTCATATTATTGTTATCCAGGTCAATTTTACTTTGAATTTTATTGACAGTATTTAGTCTACCTAAATTGCTTCTGCTACAAAAATTCATTATTACATTAAACAGTTCAGTGCAATTAGTATTTCCTGCATTCCTTTGAAAACTCATCTTGTATAAATAAGCTATGAAATTGTGGAGTGTTTGAAGACTACTTTCATTTAACCTAGAAGTTTCTAAAAATTAAAGTTAAAATGGATAACTGAGCCTTTCACTTGTATCATTTTTATTAAAGGATACTTTTTTAAAAAGTCAAATCGTGTTTCATATAAAATAAAAATGAACAGGTCAAAAGTTTTATTTAACTCATTATTAATGTGTGAATCAGTAATATGGTAAACAAACCCCAAATTTCTAGGTAGTCAAGATTGCTGAAATGAATTTACTGAAGAAACCTGGTCAATATCACAGGACAGTAAAATATTTTGGAATCAGTCCTTCTACAGACTGGCTATCAATCACAGAGCAAAATTTATTTACATCCCTGTGGACATGAATTATTTGTATTACCTTCAGTTTGCTGCCACTTAAAGAAATGTTACATAGTCCTGTTAAAGTCAGTGAAAGCTGTCGAGTTGGATACAACTCATAGGGACCCTATGAACAGTAGACCTGCACCTTGTCCTGTACTGTGCCAGCCTCATCATCTGACACACTTAAGTATATTGCTGCAGCCAATCCATCTCTTTAAGGGCCATCTTCTCTTTCGATGACTCTCCACCTTTCCAAGCATGATTCCCCTCTCCATGGAATAGCCTCTCCCTCCTAGCAACATGCCCACAGTATGTGGGACGAAGTTTTGCTGTCCTTGACTCCAAGAAGCATCTTGGCTGCACTTTGTCCAAGACATACCCATTTGTTCCTTTGGCAGTCCGTGGAGTCTTCGGTACTCTTTCCCAACACCACAAGCATCTATGCTATCATTTGTTGTTGCTGTATGCCATTGAGTCAGAACAGACTCCTAGGACGTTCCTGTGGGTTTTCAGAGACATTTAATTGAATGGGAGGAAATGGACTATCTTTCTCCCACAGAGGAGCTGGTGGATTTGAACTGCATGCCTTTAGGGTTGCAGCACAGCTTCTTATCACTAGACCACCAGAACTGCCTATAAACTCATGAACCCTGCTGGCGGTTGGTAAGGGGTTGTGCTGCTAGTGTAAAGGCACGTAGCTGAAGTCCACCAGCTGCTCCATGGGAGAAAGACACATGGTCTCCTTTTGTATGATTTATAGCCTCTGAAAACCCTCTGAAGGATCAAGATGAGTATTAAACAACTCAATGGCACATAACAATAACAATTTTCTCAGGAAGAAGTAAGCTGTGGACACCCACAACATTGGTTCAGGAACCAAATTGCCAAAACGGTAACGCTTTGGACTTGCCAGTCAGAGAAGATCCAGATCATTACATTGAAATACCTCGTTGCCTAGTTTTTATAGTATCACTCTTATGTTTTTATAACACAATAATGTATAAAGAGTCCCTGTGCATTTCTTTTCTCCTTTGTTGCTCATTGAAATTCCGTGTTGTTGGATGTCCATGATTTGGCGCTGACTTAGAGCAGCCCCTTCTGGCACAGGACGAAAAGCTGCCTTGTCCTGTGCAGCCCTCACGGTCATCACAGTGTTGGAGCCCATCGTTGCAATCGCTGTGTCCGTCCAGCTTGGGAAGGATCTTCCTCCGTTTCACTGTCCTTGTACTTTCCCAAGCATAATCTCTTTCTCCAGGAACTAGTACTTCTTGACAACAGGTTTAAAGTATTTGAGACAAAATGTCATCATTCTCATTTCTAACAGCCATGGCGGCTGTGCTTCTTCCAGTATGGAATTTTTTTTCCAAAGTGTCAGCATTGTCTTCTGACAGCACATGTAATGTCAGTGTGGCGTTGTTATTGTGTACCCTCAAGTCAGAACTGACTGATAGCTTGCTAACCTCCCAGAGGAGTTTCAGAGGCAGGGAAGAATTGCCCTTTCTCCAGTGGAGCAGCCAGGGAATTTGAAGCAGGCGTGCCAGTGCAGTCCCTTACCATTAGGCCACCAGCACTCCACAGCCTCATTGTTGTCAGCCCATAGCTGACCCTTCAATGTGTTTTCAAAGGCAGTATATGGCATGGGAGTTGATTGCTCATCATTTCTTCCGCGGAGCAGCTGGAGAGTTCAACCCACATGCCTTCATGTTGACAGCACGATTTCTTAGCACTAAGCCAGTGGCCCAAAATTCTTACTAATCTTTGTATGATTGAAAAAGTTAAGTGAGCTGCTTGTTGTTGTTGTTGTTATGTGCCATCGAATCGCTTGCGACTCATAGCGACCCTATGTACAAGAGCTCTAAATGCTATTCTATCCTGTGCCAACCTAGCCATCTCAAACGCACTTATTCCCACTGCTCCAGTCACAGAATCGATCCATCTCACCAAAGGTCTTCCTCTCCTTCGCTTCCCCTCCACTCTGCCAAACATGATGTCCCTTTCCAAGGACCAGTCCCTCCTTGCAACATGCCCAAAATATGTCAGACGAAGCTTCAGAATCCTTGACTCCAGTGAACACTCTGGCTTCACCCTCTCCAGGACAAACCTGTTTGTTCTCCTAGCAGTCCATGGTATATTTAACACTCTTCTACAGCACCACAGCCCAAAGGCATCAATCCTCTTTCTATCAGCCCTATTCACTGTCCTACTCTCTGATGCATAGCACATAATTGCAAAGACTATAGCCCAGATAGGCGCACCTTAGTCTCCAGCCTGACATCGTTGCTCTTCAGTACTCTTGAGAGGTCCCTCACAGCCGACTTTCCCAATGCAATTCGTCTCCTGATTTCTTGGCTGCTGTTACCAAGAGCGTTGACTGTGGAGCCAAGTAAATTAAAACTGTTAACTATCTCAATCTCCTCACCATCCATGCTGATGCTGCCAATTGGCCCAGTGGTTAGAATCTTTGTTTTCTTGACATTTAGCTTCAGTCCATATAGGAGGGTGTAGTCCTTGATCTTCTGCAGCAAGCGCCTTAAATAAATAAAACATGAAGTGGTAGATGTTATTGTGTGCCATCTAATCTGAACAGACCCATAGCTGACACTCCAGCAGGCTTTCAGAGGCAGTGAATTGCACGAGAGGAAATTGCTTATCCCTCTCCCTCAGAGAAGCGGGTGGATTCAAACTGCGTGTCTTTGAGATTGCAGTGCAGCTTCTTACCACTAGACCACCAGAGCTCCCTGAAAGTGGTAGATAGATCGGAATTCAAGCCTTGTGAACATTGTTCAGTTCAGACAATATTCACCTCAATGGGCATTTTCTTAACAGTATTTGAGGGACAACGCAGGAGGGGAAGACCCTCTATGAGATGGATTGATTCGGTGACTGGGGTAATAGGGATGGGTGTGTCAGAGGTGGTGCGGTTGGCGCAGGATAGAGCAGGGTTTAGGGCTGTTGTGTATAGGGTCGCTGTGAGTCGGAAACGACTCAACGGCACATAACAACAACAACAACAATTTATTTTCCTAGAATAAGAACATCTGATACCCTTATTTTACCGTCCACCCTTTCTAGTGCTACTATAACAAATATTACAAGTGGATGATTTCAACAAACAGAAATTTATTCTTTCACATTTTATGAAGCTGGAAGCTTGAATTCATAGTGCCAGCTCTAGGGTGGAGTGAGCTTGAAAGAAAATGTAGTTAATTGGTGATAATTGTTAGGTGCTTTCTCTGTGGGCTAACAGTTTAGGAGCGAAGTCCTTGTCCTCTTTCAGCATCGGTAGGCCTGACATTTCTTGGAGATCTACATGTATCTTGACATCCATCTTTTCCTAGCCCAATGAACAAGCTCAACTTCTAGATCTTCTTTGGTGATTCTTTATATTCTGTTTCTCTGCCCACTTGTTTTGTCTCTTTTACATCTCAAAGGAATAACTCAAGATATAATCTAATCCGGAAATTATATCCTACCTCATTAATTTAACTGCCACTAATCTTGCCTTGGAAGCAGGAATTGCATCCACTTTCAAAATAGCTTGCCTACAGAAATACTATGAACTTGGAGAAGCGATGAAAGTTATACAAGTGTTCAGGTCTTTAATTCATAGGGCCGCTATGAGTTGTCTACAACTTGATGGCTCTTAACAACATAGAGAGAGCTCTGTTGGCCTAATAGATAGGATGTGATGCTACTAAGCCAAAAGTGGGAGATTTTAATCTGCGACCCTCAGGCCTGGTTTTAATTGTTTTTGGTCAAACATTCTTCTAAGTGGTATAGCACTGGTCTGTCCATTTGCTGTACAGAGGTAACTCGTGGTTGCAGTGATCCTAAACACTGTGACACTGATGTGCCAAATGCGATAATGGTTCCCCATGGTGGACAGTGTTGGGTGGAGCTCCCCCATTAAAACAAGCTTGGAAGCAGGAGTGGCATCCACTCTGAAATAGCTTGCCTCCAGAAACACTATGAACTTGGAGAAACGATGAAAGTTATACAAGTGTTCAGGTCTTTCATTCTTAGGGTTGCTATGAGTCATCTACAACTCAACAGCACTTAACAACAACAATCTTGCCTCATAAACACCATAGAGTTTAGGATTTATAACATATAAGACAAGTACATCTGATACAAATAGAAGATAATTATATAAAGCTGAGAAGCATAACCTAGCTCTCATTCTCTGCCCCTCACTCGCTCTCTCACTCTCCCCATCCCCACCCATATATGTATATGTGTCTATATGTAAACTGAGGACTTAGTGATAAGGAGTTATGCTGCCAACCCAAAGCATCCACTAGATGTTCCATGGTTTTATAGGGGTAGCACATTCAATCCATAATACCTAGTTTATGTAAAAAGGCAGAACTCTTAAGGACGAATTATTAACAAAGCTTTTGTTGTTCTTATATATACTGGTGCTTTACTTTTTGAGAGAACATCCACCCATATTTCATTGAAACCAAAGAGCAGTAATTTTCAAACACATGTTACAGGTCTTCTTTTCTTCCAGAAACCACTTGCCATTCAAAGTAAAGCTAAAAAAAAAAACAAGTTGAAACCAAGAGTAGACTCTGCTGATAAGTAGAGTATGTGCAATCAGCTCTTCTCAATAGGCTAACTACTAGTTGTTGCTTTATGAAAGTGGAGCTGGGAAAGTAAATGCAATCAGTCATCATTCATCTAAAGCATACAAGGATGTGGAGGAATTATATTTGTCTTCCATATTCTTAATTAAAGTACCATGTTGTATTAACTATTTTATCTGTCTAGTTAATTGGTGATTAGCGTTAGGTGCTTTCAAGTCTATTTTGACTCCTAGCAGTCCTGTGTTCCACAGAATAAAGCTTGCTTAGTAGTTAGTTGGTTATAAACCCTTGATAGCACTTGCATACAAAACAGCTGGGTTTGGTTTTGGGGTTTGATTCCCCCCCTCCCCAATGAGAAGGCATCTACAGAGTTATATGTCGCCTTGTCAACGTTTTAAGACTCTCCATCCTTGTGGGAAGATGTGATATGATTCATCTGACTTATTTTGTATATTAAACCACAGTAAACTTGCCAGTTTTTTGGAAGTGCTGCATAAAGATAAACCTCTTATCAGCTTTAGCAAGTTCTGCTAAAAGAGGAGGTGTGAGGTGTATGGAAGTCGGTACTGAATATAATATTGGGTTGGTTTTTCTGTCTAAAATTTTTCCAAAAGTTACTACTTTCCTCCATGTACAAATAGGAAATAATGATTATTTTAAGGTTCCAGAGACACTTTACCCATTTTTTCAACATAGTTGCTAAATTTATTCCCCCTCATGTAGTTTGTATTACAAGGACCAGTAAAGAAAGAAAAATTATGGTGTTGTCTACTAGCTGTGCTGCTTGATATTAAAATAATTGGTTGCTGCTTTTCATCTTGTCTGTTATCTACAATACTGCATTACTTTAAGGGAACAATAGTAGCATTGCTCATTAATTTAAAAGATATGTAGCATGGTATGAATTCAAGAATTCTAGAAGTTTAATGAAATATTTTCATTTTCTTTTCTAGGTTCAGCTCAAATAACATTTAATACAACCAAATTTGTAGAAGTCACTGTTTGCAATGAAACGGTCGTCCTCCCATGCTTTGCTACCAACGTGGAAACGAAGAACCTCAGAGAGCTTTATCTGAAGTGGCAATTTCGAGGAAAAGACATATTCATCTATGATGGAACTCAAGATATGGCTAAACCCAGCAGTAATTTTAGTAGTGCAGAAATCACCCCCTCAGCGTTACTAACCGGAAATGCCTCTTTGAAGATGAAAAAGCATGATGCTGTTCTTGGGAACTATACGTGTGAAGTAACAGAATTAGCCAAAGAAGGTGAAACGGTGGTAGAACTCAGATACCGTGTTGGTAAGAACATTTTATTTGTTCTGTAGCAACATTGTCCTGCAGATAATGAGAGGGCAGAATGGGGCTCAGAAAACCTTTGAATCAAAACACAGACTGCTGCTAATGACAATTGTTGGTCTAAGACCATGAATTTTATCTTTCTTTTTCTACTTATCTCCCTTCTCTCCCCCCATACTAAAACTCAATTTACTGTTTGTTAGATTGTATGATTCTCAAAGTTGTGGTCCAAGGACTGTTGAGATTTGTGGCCTGGGATCCTTTACTCTGCATTTCTGTATGTTATCACCACTACCTACCTTTTTTTTTTTTATTATTATTATT